CTCTAGCTGGGCAACAGAGTGAGACTCTGTCTCAATAAAAAAAAAAAAAAAGGAAAAAAAAAACCTGATGCCAGTTCTTCAGGTGATCTGAAATCATTTATTGCTATTTACTTGGTCACTTTTCTACCAACAAGTACTTTATTGAGCATCTCTGGTATACAAAGGAAACATGGAATATGGCCCTTGCCCATAAAGAACTTAATTATGATGTTAGTACAGTGGATACATGAAATAGTGAACCAAGAGTATATAAGTTGTAAATTATGAAGCATAGTTGAGTACTCAGTGGTCCAGTATTTGTCTTTTTTAGAGTAAATTCCGAGATGGTGTATAAGATAATCAGTGTGGTTTTCAAGATTGTAAAAGTGAGGTTATTGTGGATTACAGGCAGTTTGAAAGGCCATTATAATATTAGATTGTCATTAACATCAGAACTAAGCTTTAAAATGGTGTAAAACTTAAAATCATTTCTGATGATGCAGAGAGACCCCGAAAGTATTGTTTGCTTGATTAACAACTTTATCAGAAGTATGAGGACATACTTTTACATTCCTCATTTAGTTAAGGATTCAAGAGAATTTAAAATTTTCATGACATAATTCTCCTAGAAAACCTTATTTACCTTTTAGCACTTATTCTACTAAAGTTCAGTCCATTTTAATTTTCTCTTCTTTAGTCTTCATGCAAGGTGAGGCTTCATAAAAAGGTTTTCTGGAGTTATTAATCATTATCATCCAGTTGGGTTGCTGTTGAGTAGGTAAAACTGTCATATCCCATCAAATTACATTGAAGGAATGTGCCAGCATATTTTCTGGTGTACCATTAGTTTATATACCAAGTAAAACACAGATCATAAAGCTACTTTTCAGGTAACCAGATAATGCTAACATTTCTTAGATCTTTAAATTCAGTTTATTTATAGCTGTGTGGTGGAGGCTGTAATTACTAAAACTAAGGCTGTAAGTTAATTACTGATAGTTAGAAATACTGTTTTTATTTTTTGTGCCCATAGCTATATATAGTTACATTCCAAACTCAGAAATGTGTAGCCATTACATTCTGAGACAGAGAGAGAGAGAGAGAGATTTGTCCTTAATTTGATTTTTGGGAGGAAAGATTAGGTAAGACATCTCCTAGATACTGTTCTGTATTCTTTTTCGTTTCTCTACTCTTTCATTTCTAGATTGTGGAAATTTTAAAAATGGATATTTATAGCTATACTGAGGAAATGGAAGTATTGAATAAAGGGTAGATTTCTCTCAGCAAGAGCATTTGGGATTAAAGAAATAATTCCTTCCTATGAAGTTGCAAGGTTCCCCCTGATAGGAAATGAGACTTCTTTCTCTCAGCTGCTCCTTGGACTCAGCCATATACAGAGTTCAGCTGCATTATGGATTATGTAGAGTTGTGGGTTTGAATAAAGACTTCTACTCCTTTTATAATATATATTTGAGAAATTGAGTTCTGAGTGTCAGAAAATTGACCTAACTAATGAAATACTAGAGGAAAACCCTAAATTGGAATTAATCTTTGTTTTGAATTTTTGGTGATAAACAAACATGAGCACTTAGGAAAAAATTTCAAAGAAAATACTTGAAAACGTATTTGTGACCATGATATATGTGGTATTACAGTGCAAACACTATTTCAATTAATATGAGATAGGTGGATATCTTTTTGATGAAAAAGTTTGAAGTATATCAAATGATTGTCCTCATTGCTGGAATTCAAGCATGTCGAAAAGATCCAGATAGCTGGGTTAATATTTTATCTGTATTTGGCTTCAGTTGCTTTTAAAAATAAGTTTTGTCATAATGAGTCATTTTAATTTATTTTTGGTTAGATTGCATTTTTCAATATAAAGTTAAAAAGTACCTCCTGTAAATTTTGGGAGTGTTATTCAATTAACTATATATAAAAGCAAGTGCTTAGTTATAGTGATCTTTATTTATATATATATCGCAGGAAATGGTTTCCCATCTCACAACTTTATTTACGTGCTAATTAATGTTTTTGGCCATGACTTGAAAACACTTAAGTGGTTTTCTAAGTGCTGATCCTTTGTTAATTTAAACAGGTAGAGTTTAGTCACCATTGTTAGGGATTATTTGGTTTAAAAGCAGACTGTAGCAAATAAGGATGTTTTAAAACTTTCAAACTGTTACAGTCTTAAATGTCCTAAAATAATTGATAGTTGTTCATTTGTTTTATGTACATTTGTTTTGGGGATGAACATTCTAGAGTGTGGGTATTGCTCTGTTGCACAATAGATTAATATGTCCCATTTCCTTTCTTAACAAAGGAAAATGATTTTTATAATAATGGTCTTGCTATATATTGCATAAGTATTGTTAAATTTTTAATGTTTACTAAACTAAGATAGGACAGCTCTAAGTATAGATTGTTTTACGTAGATGCGTTTAGCCCAGCACCTGCTGGTAACCAAGGTCCTCCTCCAATGATGGGTATGAATATGAACAACAGAGGAACTATACCTGGCCCACCAATGGGTCCTGGTCCTGCCATGGGACCAGAAGGAGCTGCAAATATGGGAACTCCAATGATGCCAGATAATGGAGCAGTGGTAATGTATCATAAACATTAATTTGATTATATACAGTAATATACACTTCCGCCCCAAAGATAACTTCACACTTAATTATAATGTGGCATCATTTGTTTTGGCAGTGGAGATCAATAACTAATGAAGAAAAAATAATTTTGTGAAGTTATATGTTGATTTATAAGAGGTAATTTTTAAGTAGCCCACAAATCAGGATTACCACCTGTGGCATGCTGTGGTACCTCAGTGTATAGGAAATACATATATTAATTAGATATTTTTCACTCTTTTAATTTGTATTCATCTTTTACGAGCATTCCATGTAATGGTCAAATTTTATGATTATATTCTTTTCCTGTGTGGACTCCCTACCTTTGGTGGGGAC